GAAGTAGAGTAATGGCAGTATTTAAGAGATAATGGCTAGCATTTTTCAAAACTCATGAAAGACATTAAGTCACAGATTCTATGAACCGCAAGCAAGACAAATTCAGAGAAATGCTCATCCAGGTGCCTTATAGTAAAACTATCAAGGCAAGGGAAAAAAATCTTATACATTTATTTTTTGAAAAAGTCATATTACCTTCAGAGGAGCAACAAGACTTTCAGCTAGCTTTTCAGCTAAAATAACTAAATCTGGAAGTACTGGACATCCATATTTACAGTGCTGAAAGAAACTAATTGGCAATGTAGGAGTCGACACCTATTAAAAATGAGGCAAAATAAAGATATTTTCAGATATTGAAAACGGACAGAATTTATCTTCAGCAGACTTTCATCAAAAAAATATATGAGGCTGGACACAGTGTCTCTCACCTGTAATCCCAGAACTTTGGGAGGCTGAGGCAGGTGGATCACTTGAGGTCAGGAGTTCAAGATCAGTCTGGCCAACATGTTGAAACCCCATTTCTATCAAAAAATAGAAAAATTAGCCCAGGATGGTGGTGTGCACTTGTAGTCCCAGCTACATGGGAAGCTGAGATGGGAGAATCGCTTGAGCCAAAGAGGTGGAGGTTGCAGTGAGCTGAGATCATGCCACTGCGTTCCAGCTTAAGGGAGAGAGTGAGACCCTGTTTCAAAAATAAAAATAAAAAATATCTATGAAAAGGAGTTTGTCAGGCAGCAGGAAGATAATCTCAGACCAAAAAAAAAAGAAAGAAAGAAGGACTAAAGGACAACGTAAAGTGTGAAATGTGGTAAAGATGAATGCTGACTGCACAAAGCGATGCTAGCCGCCATTTCTTGCAGGGCTTTAAATAAATCTATCGTAGGATGGGTGGCAACAATGGCATAAAAAGCAGAAGGGAGTTAATGAAGTGAAAGGTGTTTAGAAGTCTTCATTCGTAAGGCGGTGGAAGGAATAATTCATAGCACAGCATAAAACTCAAGGCTGTACATTGCAATCCCAAGCACAAACACCGGAAGAGCAGGAAAAGAATGAACAAATTATAAGCTGACAGAGGAGGTGACGGGATAATAAAAATATTCAATGAAGACAAACAAAGATGAGCAAGGAGAGGAAAAGGAGCAGAAATAGCACTGTGAGGCTGTCCTTGAATGCTGAAATGTCGCTGAAAGGGGTCACACCTGTACTCCCACTTGGGAGATCCCATGACCCGGGTGAAGAGCACGCCCCTGAGGAGGGCTTGCTGTCTTCTTACCCACTCAGTTTTACCCCTCAGATCGCAAATGCCCACTCAGCACTGCTGACTGGAGTTGGGGTGTGGAGGGCCTGGTGATGGGAAAAGGAGCTGCATTGCTTCATAAGCTTGCTTCGCTTCTTTTTTCTTTGACCGTGTCTTGCTTGTTGCCCAGGCTGGAGTTCAGTGGCACGATCTCAGCTCACTGCGACCTCTGCCTCCTGGGTTCAAGCGATTTCTGGCTAATTTTTGTATTTTTAGTAGAGACGAAGTTGGTCTCAAACTCCTGACCTCAGTGATCCACCCGCCTTGGCCTCCCAAAGTGCTAGGATTATACTCATGAGCCGACACAGCCAGCTTATTTTGCTTCTTAAAATTAGCGTTGGGTTTCTGAAGGCTACGAATTCAAAAACTCAATTCACCCTGAATATTTGAACTTTGGCTTACAGTTGTTGTTTTTCTATTTATAAGACCTGCAAATCTGAAGAGTCACCTTTTAAGAGCTTTTGGATACCGTAAATTGAGTTTTTTAAATACCTTCAAACATTTTAAATTGCCGTAAGAAGTGAACACATTCTAATTTCCCCTTCGGCATTTTGGAGTCTAATGAGAAAACCTTCTCAGCATTAATTAATCTCATGAAATCTAATAATTTAACCTAGAAATGCAAGGAGCCCAAAGTCTCTTAAATACTTCAGTACTGTGTACAAATACACTAAGATTTCCATGTACCATTACAAGATGATGTCCATTAGTTGATTCCATATTTTATATTGGATCTGTGAGATTCTTCATAATAGATCAAATTCTTTAAATATCGTAAGACTGTGAAAAATCAAACCTGTCCAGATTCCTTAATACAAAAGGCATATTTTGGCCAGGCACAGTGTCTCACGCCTGTAATCCCAGCACTTTGGGAGGCTGAGGCAGGTGGATCACTTGAGGTCAGCAGTTCAAGACCAGCCTGGCCAACTTGACAAAACTCCATCTCTACTGAAAATACAAAAAAATTGCTGGGCATGGTGGTGTGTGCCTGTGATCCCAGCCACTTGGGAGGCTGAAGCATGAGAATTTCTTGAACCCAGGAGGTGGAGGTTGCAGTGAGCTGTCACACCACTGCACTCCAGCCTGGGTGACAGAGTAAAACTGTCTCAAAAAAAGGCATATTTCTATGGCTATTTATATCTCTATTTCTATTAGTTATATTTATATTAATCATTTCTAGACTTAACTCTAAATCTCCCTAGGTTGTAAAACTGCTAAGAACGTCCTATCCCAGTAGTGGACTTTATGATGGGCTAGAGGTTATGGCAGGGGCGTGGTAGGGTCTGTTTGGCCCCCAGGGGGCTCCAAGGACCTCTCCTCACAGTACTGACTTGAGAACACTGGACATCAGGAGAGGATGGGCCTGCAGCTCATGTCCTGGATCTGAGCGTGTGCAGTTTCTCTGTAAGTAGTTTTAAAATTGTGAAACATAACATGTGCCCAAAAGTGCATAGAGCCAAAGTACAGCCGAATTTTTTTCACTAGTTCACAAACATTCTTACAATCACCACCGGGTCAAGAAACAGAACATTGTCAGAACCCAAAAGGCCTGTGCCTGTCCCTCCCCAGTCACCACGCAGTCCCACCCTCAGATGCAATCACTTTCTTATCTTTTGCCTGTATACATTTACCCGCTAAATATGCATCCAGAATTCTATCAGCTACTTTTGCTTTTGAAAAACTTTGCCTACCATGGAATCATGGCACATACCCTCTTGAATTGGCTCTGTAGCCACAGAAATACGCCTTTTGTTTATTTGGGGTGTTTTTGAGACAGTTTTACTCCATCACCCAGGCTGGAGTACAGTGGCGCTATCTCAGCTCACTGCAACCTCCACCTCCTGGGCTCCATATCCACAGCACACACCCTCTCGAATCGGCTCTTTTTGCTGCCACATTTGTGAGATTCATGCTCCTTATATACAGTGTCGCTGTGTCACTGTCATGGCTGTATGGCGTTCTACTGAATGGCTATCCTTGTGTTTTAAAAAAATCAATTCTCTTCCTGATGGGCATTTGGGCTGATTCCAGTTTGGTGCTGTGGTGAGTATTTGCTTATGAAGACTTCCGGCTGTGCCTCTGGTACACATGATGGCCACTTCCAGGCCATGAGGTGGAATAGGCAGGTTACAGGCCTGTGTGTCTTCTGCTCCAACAGCTGACACCAAGCTGTTTTCCAGATGGGTTACATCAATTCGCATTGCTGCTAGCAGTGTATGCAACCCCCCTCCCACGGTCACCTCTGATGCTTGGTGCTGTCGGTCTTTCTGACTTCCGAGGCTCAGATGAGAGTGCCATGGAGGCTCCTTTGGGTGCTGGTTTGCATTTCTCCGGTAAGTGGAAGTGGAGCACCTTTTGATAACTGCATCGCTGCCCTGTGTGTCATCTTCCGTGAAGTGTCTGTTCATGTCGCACACCTTTTTGTTTTAACCGAGCTGCTCTAAATCTTTTATTATTTGCAGGAATTCTTTCCGATACGAGCCTGTGATTTATTTATTTATTTTTGCATAGGGCGTCATAGGCAGAATGATTCCTGCCCCCACCATGGCCCTGCCAAAGATGCCCTGCCCTAATACACGCAAAGCCAGAACCTGCAAAAACCTTCCGTGGCCAAAGAGCCTTTGCGGATGTGGTTAAAGATACAGACCTGGAGATGGGAGGGGATCCCAGATTATCCAGGTGGGCCTAGTCTAATCCCATGAGACTCAGGAGGGGAGAGCCTGGCCCTCGGAGCTCCAGGGGGGAAAGGTGATGAAGGGTCAGAGAGAGGCAGTGCTGCTGGGTTGAGGGTTGGGGGAAGGACTCCCAGGCAAGGAACGCCAGTGACCCCTGAGGGCTGCAAAAGGCAAGGAAGCAGGTTCTCCCCCAGAGCCCTGGAAGGAGCCTGCACTGCTGAGTCCTGCCTGCTGGCCCAGTAAGGCCCTGGAACTCCAGACATGCCAGGGCGATGCGTTCCTGCTGTTTTAGCCACTCCATTTGTGGTGACTGGTTGCATCGACAGCAGGAAACTGCAGACATGCATGCTGCACAGCGATTCTGCCCTCTGGCCTTCCTTTGGTTCTCTCAGTGTCCTTTGGCAAGTGGGAGCTCTTGATTTGAGCAGGGTCACACTTGCCACATTCCCTTTGGTGCTTCTGAGGTCGTGGTTGGGAAATCTCCCCTGGCCTAGGAGCAGGAGAAGCCCCTTCTCCACCATCTCCTAGAAGCCTTGTGTAGCATTTCCTTCCGAGGTCAGCAATCCCCCCAGCTGAGGTCTGTGTGTGGGAGGAAGGCCCCTTCGGAACCTTCTCTGAGCAGCTGGCTGACCAGGCGCTCTCTTCCTGTGGGTGAGTGCTGAGTGTTTATCTCTTCTTAGCAGCAGCCAGCCCAAAGCATGAACTCTGCCATGGTGGGAAGCAGGAGAGTTCCCACTACACTTTCCCCCTTTTTAAAGAGTGTTTTCTGGACCCCAAAGTGATCTTTCTCAAGAATCGTGAAGTGCTGTGAGTGAGGCTTGAGGGGATGAGGGAGGCTTGGGGGTGGAGGTGAGGATCACCCGGTGTCAATTACTGGAGGTTGAAAATCCTTGCAAAAGTCACTCAACCTCCCTGAACCTCATTCATGCCATCTGCTGAGTGAGGATCCTGACTCTTCCCAACTCACCAAATTCCAGGGAAGCATCTGCCACCCAACAGACGCAGGAAAGTGATCGAAACCACTGGCGTTCAGGAAACACACATTTAAAGTGGAAAAACTTGTCTGTCCCAAAGCAAACATACTTAGAAACATAATTTTCCCTCTGGTGAGGTCGTGGGCATGTGGGACAGGTTGACCAGGCTAGGGGCAAAGGGGCAGCTGTGGGCATCATGGGAGTGAGAAGGGCTGGGGAAACAGGGTGACTGCCACACTGCAGCACTTGTGGGCTTGGCGGGATGCACCTTCATCTCTGCACCTCATAGCTGTAGTTGCAGCCCTTCCCCGCTTTCCAGTTGATGCCCTGGGGTCCCCCGACCGTTCGGGTTTGAAGCACGGCAATTGCTGAACCACCAGCCTCCCTGGAACAGCACAGCACAACTTGAAGGATCCAAATCATTGTCTTGGTCTTTGGTGGAGAAGAACTGGTTGTTGTGGCCTGATAGAGAATCACCTGCTCACAGAAAATGTGGGTTTTGCAGATGTTAGGAAGAGCCCTGGATCGTGAGACCCTCACCAAGTCCTGCCTCTGAGCAGAGCCAGCCTTACTTTAGAGATGCACCAGCTGAGGTCCAGGTGTGCGGACCACCCACCCAGGCTGTGGAGGAAGGAGAAGCAGGAAGAAACCTCTGGCAACCTGGTCCGGAAATTCCTGTCCCCAGCCTGAGACAACCACCCATGTCCTCCAGCTTCTCTCTCTTGCAATGGCCTTCGTCCTCAGCCTGCACCACTTCTTCCGTCTCTCCCCACGTCCCCTGGGGCCCTGGTGGCCCTTGGCAGGTGCAGCACAGCCCTCATCACCTGGGGGCCCCTCCTGTCTCAAGCCCTGAGCCTAAAGCTCATCCCTGGCTCCTACAGCTAAGAAATGTCACCCCCTGAGCCTCGGTTTTACCACCTGCAAAATGGGGATAACATTCCCTGCCCTGCCCCCTTCCTTGAAGGTCATGCATGAGATTCTGCCTGTGAAAGGACTGTCCAGACTCCCCAACGCTGCCATTTCCAAGGATCCCCCCGGGACGGCCTTGCTCCATGCAGCAGTTAGTCAGTTACACGGGCTTCCTGCTGCGTAAATTCTCAGCCCCGTTCATGAAAGAACGTACACTGGGACTTCCCTAGGCAGATGCCCTGTGGGAAACGCCTCCCCGGATCACACAACCGGAGACTCCTTTTGGTAAAGAATGTCCCACAAGGCCAGTGTTCCATGGAAGGCAGTTTGGGAAACAGCTCTAAGGCGCCCATGAGAAAAGGACATCATCTTCCAGGTTTTCGAAGTGATGCTGGGGGGTCACTTCAGCCCTGCCCAGACAGCTCACTGTGCAGCAGACATTGCTTTCCAAAGGCCAGAGCCCCACGCTGCCCAGAGACACAGATGCTAGTGTATACTCCACAGATGGAGAAACTTGATTGTGGGAGGGGAGGACCCAAGGTCACTGGGGGAGACAGAGCCAGGTTCTCTCTGCTTACCAACTCCCACTCAGGCCACCCGGCCCCAAGCAGACGCTCACCTGCGCTGCCCCCGACAGAGACTCCCAGGACAAGCTTGTACTTTTCACCTCCCGGCCACCTTGAATGAGCTGTGCTTAGCAAACTGGAGGTGGCCTGGAAGTCCACCAGGAAGACATGGAGCTTGCTGCTCCCTGTTGGAAAAAGATGTTAAGGTCCCAGCCTTTTAGATCTTTCTGTCACCAGGCATAAGAGACGGGGATGGGTAAATTCTTAGGGATGTCTGAAGGTGGCATCCAGGAGAAAAATCAACTGGGAATGTCTGGAAATCCCTGGCTGTGACCAGGCCCTCGGGAAGGGCTTTCTGTTTCTAAACACCTTCCCTTTATTGCGGAGAGCTGCACCTGTCCACTGTTGCTGTTTATTGAGTGGAGTGGATCATTCTTTGATTTTGAAAATGTACCTTCTCCTTCCAAGGGTGGGTGAGCCACTATCACAGCGGTGGGAGAAGCTATCCTTGTGGTCTCTCTTGCAGGCATTTGAGGCACCTGAGTGGATGCCTTCAGTCAAGCCATGGGGCCGTGGGCAGAGAGATAATGCACCAGCAACATTACAGACTGCCTCGAGACCAGTTAAGAAGCTTATCCCTGCCCTGGAGAGTTAGGACCGAGGCCCTCTCACTCAGGTGAGTGTGGCTGCACGAGGCCTGCCAAGGCACAGGCTGGAAGAGGCAAGCCTGGGCTCTCTGTGGGACTAAGATGCCAGTGTCAGAGGCAGACCCACAGCTGGAGATGGGGGAAGGCTACCCTAAGCCCCGGTGGTCTCTCTCTTGCTTCCCACTCTCAGGATCTAAGGTGCCAGTGGAGCGAGACCAGAAGAGGCTTCTGCCCAGAGCTCCGACCCTCTCTCGTCCTGATGCCGCCAGAGCCAGCGGCAGGGGATGTAGCCCTCAGGGGTCCCAGTGCCACTGTGCGTGTGCTTAGGGCCCAATACCCTGTGGGCCAAGAGGTGCTTATGTTCCAGACAGCCCAGGCCTAAGGGGCAGGGGCACCTCCATTCAGGGCCCCCGACCCCCGATCCCCGGCAGCAGCCCTACCCCGGGCAGTCAGGGCATGGATGTTGTCATTCCCCAGCCAGAACTCCCCCAGCTGACTGCCGAAGCCCTGCTTATACGTGGCCCAGTCCCGATAGAAGTCCAGGGAGCCATCCACCCTCCGCTGGAAAACCTGTGGGGGAGCCAGGGGACGGGAGCCACGGGCCAGGCCGACGTCCCGCAGCGTGGGGTACCTGCCCTCCAGAGGAGCAGTGCGTGCAGATGACAGAGCATCATGGCCGGGCCAGCAGCTCACAGACCCCACAGGAAGATGAAGGAGGAAAGGGGGGCCCAGGAGGAGAGACAGCAAGCCCCAAGCCACACAGCAGGAAAACACCGGCCCCTCCCAGCCTCCCCCATGGCCTGGACTTTTATCCACGGGTCACCGCCCCCATCATCTCTGCCTGTCCCTGTGCAGGGGGATAGAGAACTCCAGAGTGTTCTCCCACCAGGTATGCAGCCTGGCCTCCAGGACTCCCAGGCTGGCCACCCCTGCCCAGGGCCCCTCAGCTCCCCCCACACTCACGGTCCAGCCCCCTCCGTCTGTGTCCATGTCACGCAGAACAGTCAGGGGCTGGCAGTCGGGCAGGTAGACGATGTGCCAGTTGCTCAGGAAGTGCCCCCTGTCCCGCAGGTCCTTGCAGGTGCATGGGCCTGAGAAGGGAACCCGGGGAGTGGCTGCAGGACGGGAGCCCTGGGCAGGGCAGGGGCAGTGGGAGGGAGGCCCAGGAGGGAGGAGCAGGGCCACAGGCATCTGTGCGGACAGAGTAGGACTTCGAGGCCTGGACGGGGACACGGCCCTCGGGACCACGCAGCTGTGATGGCCACACCCAGTCTGCCTGACCCTCCCACCTCCCAGCGTCTCCCCACCTTCAGCCCCTGGGCATCCAGCCTTTGAGGTAAATTACATTAGTAGAACCCAGGGTGTCTTGGAAGGGATCCAGGGCATAGCCGCCCATTACTTAAATGATTAAGGGGCCAACAGATGCAGACAAGGTCTGTCCTCACAGTCTGCAGCGTGAAAGCGTGCAGCTCGTCTTGGGGGCTGGGTAACAGGCTTGGGTTCCAAGGTCAGGGTGTGATCAGTCACCTGTCACACACCACTGAGCCTGCCCAGTGTCTCCTGTGTGGGGAGAGGGGACACTTGTCATATGCTTAAAATCAAAGCACTGGTCCCCGTCAGCCTCAGTGGCTCCCTGAGCACAGAATAGAGAATGGGCAAAGGCAGCTACTCTGCTGTCTCCGGGACATGCAGCACAGGCCAAGGGAAGGGTGGCCGGACTCGACTTCCCCGGAGGCATTGACCACACGGTGTCCATAGGCCCCTGCTGTGCAGCTCGACCTCTGTGGACTGTGGACCCCTGGTGAGGCCTTTGACACTGGTAACCTGTTTCTTGGGGCACAGTATCAGCGGCCCCTCAGCCCCCGGTACCAGCTCTCATTTGTGTTTGTAGGCAGAGGGTGGGACTGTGTCTTAGAGTTTTGCACATTTGGCTTTTTAAAACTTTTACAATTTTTGAATAAATGAGCATAAGTAAGACAGAAATGGAAATATTCAAGTGTCCCCATCTACACACTGGTGTGGTCTTGCTGGCCGCTGGGAGTGACTGCTGAGACGCCGGGGTCTGAGTCCTCATGGATTTTCACAACAAAGCCCGTCGGGCTCCTCCCCCCTCCCTGTCCACAGCCCGGATGGTCAGGGACATGGGCAGACTGCCCACCCATGGGTGTGTGGGCAGACTGGGGCCTCCAGGACCCCTCCCCGGGACAAAGCCTGCAGAGGCACCTGCCCAGGTCCGCCCATGGCTCACCGTTCTCTCCACGCTTCCCCTTCTCTCCTCCGTCTCCTGGAGAAAGGCAGGACAATGAGCTTTTGACCCAGGACGTCTGGGCCACCGGGAGGCCGGCCGGGGTGGGCTCCTGGCCTGGGCACTGCATCCCCCCAGCCCTGAGGGCTCACTCAGGCTTCACGAAGCCCAGATCTCAAGGGTGGGGAGGGCTGAGACCTGGAACATGGCGGAGTCTCTGCCTGCCTCTGTCTTCGTCTCTCCGTCGCTCTCTCCCCCGCCCTGTCTCTCCCTCCCTCATTTCATCACAGACAGCTCTATGGTCCCTGCTCAAGGCCTCTGCACTCTCCGTCCCCTGGTTACCTTTGGGCCCCACTGGTCCTGCCTTTCCAGGGGCTCCAGGGAGACCGAGTGCTCCTGAAAATTCCAAGGAATTGTTGAGAAAAATGCAACCTAAATAATTCCCCCTGGAAATCTTTGCCCCAAGTGGTGAAGTCCTGACCCTTCTGCCTTGAACCCATGCTGGTTCCAGGAACCCTCAGAACTGCTAGTCTTGGGCTTAGCCTTGGGGTGACTGCAGATGGGGGTGAGGGAGTGATGGAGGGGCCTGCACCCCACCTAGGGCTCAAGGCTCCTGTTTGCACTTTGGGAGCAACCTGGGTTTCACCCTCTGTTTACCATAAACCTGGGCCCAGGCCACCCTCCCAGAACTCTGCTGTCTAGCAAGAGATCAGGTCCGGGAACAAGGAATGCGGCCTTGGAGAGCCTCGTCCTACTGGGTCTCCACACAGAGAAGGTGAACCCCACCTGCAGCCGCTGCTGCCAGGGAGGACCCAGTCCCACCGTGTGCCTGAGTTCCTGGGTGTCACACAGCCCTCCACGAGGTTGTGGCCAGAGAGGTGACCTCCCATCACCCAATACTAGCCAAGAGGCAGCCCCCAGTGCTGTCACTGAGCCTTGTGGCCTGGGAGTGTGAGGGGGTGGCTCCTGCTTTGGGGAATATTAGCCAGTCTTACCCACTAGTAGAAGTCTGGTTCAAGGGAAGTCTGAGCCAGACCCGATTCTCCTCCTGCCTCGGAAGGGCTTCCTTCCCAGGGTTCCCTGAGCAGGGGCAGAGATCCCACACTCAGGTCCACCCTGCAGAGTGGGCACAGAGGACCTGGCCCAGGACACCCACATAGAAGCCTGGACACCTGAACAAAAGTGCCAGTCGTAGGGGCATTCAAGCTTGTCCCATCTACATTGAGACATCCCCACCCAGTGCTCTGCAGGCATCAATCACCTTGAATGCCTCCAGAAATGGGGAGCTCACACCCTAAGGCAGCGCCCTTTCTGTGCTTTTGTGGACATCTGCCTTACACTATGCTTAGGGGACCCAAAACCACCCAAGGCAGGTGCCACTCTTCATTCTCCCATGTCCCCTGCAGGCCTGCATGTGGAGCTCAAGGCTCAGGATTCGGGTACCCTCTGTGTCATGAAGTAGCCGGGTCGAGTCCCAGCCCCACTCCTTATTGCTTAGTCAGGTAGGAAAGTCTCTGACCCCTTTAAGCTTCAGCTTTTCCATCTGAGGCAGGTGTAGAAGAAAGTGGTCACCTTAATTTTCAGGTGAGAAGGTGGAGGGACATAGAAATTAGAAGTCGTGCCAGTGGCCGAGCAAAGCTGGTGTTGGATCAAGGACAGGGAGACAGCGCTACAGAATCGTGTTCACATGTGAGCTCATGGAATAGTTAAGAAAGGTGATCCCCCATTTCAGAATGCTGCTGGGCCCTGGGAGTTAGCTCTGTCCCTGGCTCTAGCAGGGGCCCGACCCAGGCTCTCCATCTAGGAACCACGGAGGGGGCGTTGCCCAGCTCAGCATCTAGTTTCAAAAACAGCAAGAGCCAGTGCCCCCACCACGCCCAGCCTCCCCACCTGGCCCCAACTTACCTCTCTGTCTATTGGCACCCGCAATAGCTCTGTCTAAGGGCACCTCCCTTTGGCCCTGGGGTCTCCAGCAGCCCCGGGCAGCCTCGGAGAATGGTGAGCTTGTCGGAGCCCTCCATGCCCACCACCTTCACCTCTGCAGAGAAACACAGGTGGCCACTCAGTGCCTGGCCCAGCAGCGCCTGGGAAGTGAGGTTTTCTGCTCTGCTGAGGCCTTGGTCTGTCCTCACCCCTCGGGCACTGGCGAGGAAGGGAGGTGAAGGGGGCAGAGCCCTGGTGTTGGAGGCCGCCTGGACCTAGCAGAGCCTCCTCTCCTCAGTGCTGTGTGCCCTGGGGAAACTCACTGCACTTGGAACTTTGCCCCCTGGGCTGCTACGTGCAGATAATAACAAGGTTGTGGCCAGGGCTGGATTAGAGAACGCACATTTTACATCTCTTACAGCAATTTATGGCACTTAGAAAGAGCTGCATAAACAGTGGGCACTTTCAGTCACTACTGACAATAAATATTTCTAAGAAAATGGGGGGATTGGGGCTGATGTAGCGTTTTCCCTCCCAGACCCTGGGAAGGTGGCTGTAGAATTTCTGGGCTGGAAGGGGCCTTCTCAGTCCCCTGGAGAGGGGCAGTGTGGGGTCCAAGCACACAGAGCCAGGGGTGGCACAGCTGGAGCCAAACTGAGGCTGTTTACTTCTTTGAAAAGACATTTCTCATTCTGTTGATTCAGAAATCCACACTCCCTCCTCTGGCCCTCTGAGAGGTGGCAGAAAGAAGCAGCGCTCTCTCAGAGAGACACAGTGGCTGCCATTTTGGGGCATCTCCTTTCTGTGTTTACAATGCTCCTTCCTGGAGCAGGCTGCAATCTACTATTTACTTCCTCCATAAATATGTTGTCAGCCAGGGCGGCAGGGCCGTCCTTAGCAGCAGTCTCTCACTGAGTGTCGCAGAACCACCTGCTTCCGGATCAGCGCGGGAAACACCTCATCCCCGTTCAAACCCTTAACCCTATGGACTGAATCCAACCCTGCTGGGGGAGACCCAGAAATCGGCCTTTTTAATAAACCCCCCAAGTCAGTGTGGCAGCCGCTGTATCAGAGGGTCTTAGAGCGCCTCTCCAGTCAGCTGGTGCAGAGGCAAAGTCAGCTGTATGTTCTTCCTTCTCAGTGACAACTTCCAGACCCATCTGTGAAGCTTCATGGGACAAATCCCAGGTTTTCTAGGCAGACAGACAAGGAGTGACATTCCTCCTCTCTCCCTACGTGAGCCTGGGCATTGCCTCAGCTGCCCTGAGCCTCCACCTCCTTGCCTGAGGATAAAGCTGATCTGCTGGGCATCTTCGCAGGAAGATGTGTGTAAAAGGTTTCACCAGAATGGTCAATGAGTGGGTCATTACCAGCTTTTGGAGACCAGAAAACCCAGGTGCGTCTCACCTGGACACGTGTCAGCAGCCTGGGCAGGCAGGTTCTTGAGATGCAGGAACCAGACTAGCAGGACAGTGAGGCCCCGGGCCTCAGTGGCTCTACTCAGCTCCATGTCCTTGGCTGGTCTTTGACTCGGAGGAGTCCCCCAGCTCTTATAGGGCAGAGGAAGCCAGCTCTTGCCTTGTGCCCCAGCTCCTCACCTCCCTGGGGGACACCCACTTCCTACGAGCTGCTAAGCTGCACCAGCAGGAGGTATGTGCTCATCTGAAACAATGTTTTCTTCCGCTAGACCTCAGCAAGATGCCCATTCCACTGGGCTCTCTTCCCCAGCAAAGACACCGTGCGCCCCATCCAGAGAGCTCCCGAGACCCCTCAGCTGGAAACGGTGAACTTTGTCTGTGGTTTAAGGAGAGCGCAGCTCCCATACCACCTTCCCCTTCCCCAGCTATCCCCAAGCAATACTCAGGGACCTTGGCCTTATCCTTGGGGCATAAGGAAGGCTTTGCTGAAGAGATTACCTGCCTTGTCTATTCCCAGAAAATTCAGGGTTTGTCAGTCGCCAGGCACTTAACATGGATGGAGAGAAAAAAAATGTTTAGGGCCTGCTATGTCCCAAGTACTATTTCTGTTAGATCATCTCACACCAGCCCCATTTGGTGGAGTAAATTATTTGAAAGTTACAGATGGAGAAATGGAAGTCAATCCACTAGTAAGAACCAGGCATGGCCAGGCGTGGTGGCTCACGCCTATAATCCCCACACTTTGGGAGGCCGAGGCGGGCAGATCACAAGGTCGGAAGTTTGAGACCATCCTGGCCAACATGGTGAAACTCCATCTCTACTCAAAATACAAAAATTAGCTGGGCATGGTGGTGCATGCCTGTAGTCCCAGCTACTCCGGAGGCTGAGGCAGGAGAATTGCCCGAACCTGGGAGGTGGAGGTTGCAGTGTGCTGAGATCGTGTCACTGCACTCCAATCTGGTGACAAATCGAGACTCTGTCTCAAATAATAATAATGATAAGAGCCAGGGATCAGAAGCAAGGCTGTCTGACATCTTGTGGATCACTGGGGTTGCTTATTTCACCTGAAGGTAGGGATGCCTCCTGTCCCCACAAATCCTTGAGGCCATGTTCCTACTCCACATCTCATGTTGTGAAGCACGCTCAGCCTGAATGCATTGTGGACCCTCTATGCAGGATTTCTGAAGAGGTATACAAATGATCACTAAGGAGAGTCAGATGGTAGCAGGACCGAGGATCAGGGAGAGGTGCTGTTCTGTGGTTTGCTAGTTCTCTGGGCCAGCGCGTGTAGACTGGGTTTCCAAACACTCTGGTTCCCAACCAGATGTTTTCTTCGGCTAGGCCTCAGCAAGATGCCCATTCTACTGGGCTCTCTTCCCCAGCAAAGACGCTGTGCGCCCCATCCAGAGAGCTCCTGAGACCCCTCAGCTGGAAACGGTCAACTTTGTCTGTGGTTTAAGGAGAGCACAGCTCCCATACCACCTTCCCCTTCCCCATCTATCCCCAAGCAATACTCATGGGAGAGATATAGAGGGAAGGCCGAGTGGTGGGGGCCCAGGAGACAAAGGACCTTGTGTCCAGGCTCTGTGGGCACCGCACCAACTCTAGACTGTGAGTGTTTGTGTATGTTGGCTCCAGCCTGTTGAGAGACAGGGCAGGAGGCTTCACAGCTCAGACCCTGCTTAGTGTCCCTGAGCTACTGGCCCAGGCAGGAGAGGACTGGGTGTCAGTGGTGCGACCTCCTTTCTCAGAGAGGATCTAATTCAGGAGTGACACTCACCTGGATTGAGTCAGAACAGAGAGAGAGCCTGCAAGTCTGTGCCCCTCAGTTCCATTTGCCACCTGCCCCCTGGGTGTGAGGGGACCTCTTCTTCCTCGAATTGTCAATGGGTTTATTTCAGGTGAAAAGTCAGCAACACTCTCAGATACCAAATTAATGTTCCCAAGACTATGTGAGCCCAAGAGTACAAAAAACTGCAAGATTCTGGCAACTTCAAATATTTTTTTTGAGATGGAATCTCACTCTGTCACCCAGGCTGGAGTGCAGTGGTGCGATCTCAGCTCACTGCAACTTCCACCTCCTGGGTTCAAGCAATTCTGTGCCTCAGCCTCCCAAGTAGCTGGGATTACAGGTGTGCACCACCACACCTGGCTAATTTTTTGTATTTTTACTAGAGATGGTGTTTCACCATCTTGACCAGGCTGGTAAAGTCAAATATCTTAACATTGGATCGATGAAAGTCATTTGGCTCCTGGCAATAATAGAACAAACAGACAAAAGCTTTCAAAAGGGATTTGCTTGAAGGCACAGTCAAGCTAGCTATGTAGCAAAGGATCACTTTGCCAAGCTGTCAGGCAACAGAAATCTTAGAGAAGTGAAACTAGGAGTGGAGTCCTCTTTTTCTCAGGAATTTGTCAATCTCCAAAAGAGAGGTGAGAAGTTGGGCAGTTATTTCACAATCTTGCAGAGCTGAAGGCCAGACTGGGGTCTGGGGCCTGCCAAGGGTATGGATTTGGGGTTGGCTTTCAGAAGCGCTGCACCCTAGCAATAGGATGAGTGAGCAATAACTAACTTTCACACAGGCTGCAAACTGGTTTTAAGATGTGTAAATGTCCTAGGAAAGGAATCTCAAATCCTGGAATTATTGCTCGTGCCCCCAGGCTCC